AGATGCTCTGACCCAGTCGTCCATCACAATGTGGCCCTTGTCAAAGTGGCTCAGATCCTCACGCTGCCCATTTTTCCTGCTTCTAACACATCAACTCTGAGGACAAAATGTTCACTTGCTGCCTGATATTTCCCCCTACTGACAGGCACCCTGATAACCAGATACTCAGTGTTATTCACTGTCAGTGCTCACAATGTTATGGCTGATCGGTCTATGTCGTTTTGGAAAAAAATCCTGAATCTAATATAGAAATATAATTATTGTTGAATTAATAAAAGTAAGGAAATGTATTCAGAAGTTATTGTTTTGTTGTTTGTTTTTTTGTTTTGTCATGCAGCCATAATGCTATTTGGGGGGCATTGCCATGGAAAAGTTTGGGAACCTCTGGCTTAGACTACCAATAGCTGTTCTGGCGTGATGAAGCAGCCTCAACGGACCAAACTCTGTTATAAATCTAATGTTGTTTACACCTTCTGTGTTCCAGCTGCTCTCCACTTCTGTCGTTCACTGCCAACACCGGTAATGTTGCTGGGAGGTTCTCACCCACAATGTACCACCTCATCTGTAAAATAACTCTCTGGATCCTTTGTAGCATTTTTTATGACCTGAAAAAGTTTGTAAATAAAAAATAAAAAAGATATCCTACATACAGATGATCTATTACTGACCCTCTGTATCAGCTGATATTCAAAGACAGTGTTCCTCAAATGTCTTAATTAGCTTTGTTCTCTTGGCAAGAAATAGTTTCCCCAATCTGGGTTTTGGACTTTTTAGTTTGAAAAATAAGGCATTTAAAATCTCTTTTGTGAGATATTGCACAACACAAGTTGATAGCTTTAGAGAAAACGCACTGGCCTGCACTCAGAAGGTTTCTCTGCATGTCTTCTTCTCTTCAACTCTGACTGTGTGTTTAGTCTCTATTTGTGTTTATCTCTTTTAATCTGCATCTCTCTCTCTCTCTCTCTCTCCACAGACGTCACCCCTCTCCTCACACTCCAGGCTATTAAGTGGAGAAAAAAAAGAAAATGGAGTATATGGTGGGGTTTTTCATGTGGTTTTGAGCCGCAGAGCTGTCAAACAGGATTCAGGCTGTTTTCCTAAACCGCTGCTGCAGCAGCTCAGTGGAACTTCAGGGTGATTTAGCGGTGCAGTGGCTGTAATGCATCACCACGTTTTTGACTTTAGCTGAACACCTTCCTGCAGAGGCCTGAGACATACAGTGGACTCTCTTTCAATCCTTTCCTTTCAAAATAAATAAATAAATACATACAAACCTCTACATTTTCTGTGGCTCAAAGGACAATTAGCTATTTTTTTTCATATTTCTGATTCATGTTTAATAATCTGCCGTCACTGTCCCTCATGTTTTACTTTAATAAAAAATCTATATTTATTCCTTTCAGTCTCATTACATTTCCTTCATTTTATCCAACTCAATTCATGACCTTCATGTTATTTCATCACATTTTCTCTGCACATAATATCATGTAGTTCTAGTTTATAAATAATATTCATATATCATGCTGTGGTTGGTCCAGGGGTTCCTCTCTATAGTGAATACCAAACCATACCCAGGAGGGCGTCTCAGACTGTTCCAGCATACAAACAAATGTGTATTAAACCACCTGTTGATGCTTCATCTTATTTTCAATGATAATAAATTGAACAATCCAGTGAAAAACAATCAACACAGTAACATCATCAAGAACACACACATAAAGGCT